ATTTCCAAGAAAAACAATTTTTTAAAATATAAAATTTCCTTTCTTTACATTTACTTTAATTTACATTTTTTGATGGGAAAAAAATTAAAATTCTGTACTCTTTACATAGTTGCATTTTAGTTTTGACCCTTTAGATTACTACCATCAATACAGCATTTTCAAATGATGTGCAGATCATCGTTATAACAATATAAATAGAGTGATCTTGCTAAAATGAAGACAATAATGTATGTTTTATGAAATAATGTATGAACTCTGTCTCGTTACTCATCCGAACATCACCAGCCCACCATCAAAACACCCAGCTGTGTAATAATAATTAAATTCAGTCTTCCTTGATATTTTGTCACTTTCAGTCATTTAAAACCATCACTTTACATGCATATTTCACCTTACCTTATGCAGACATATTTGTCAAGGTGGTGAAATCAAACGATTTTATTTAACAGTTTCAAATATCTGACAAAGATATGGAGACCTCTATTTATATTTTTGTTCTGGGCTTTGCAATTTTGGGCCAGGTCTGCCTGTCCACTCCCTGCCCACCGGCTCTCCCTTTTGTGGGGTTCAGGCCACCCGTGCTGGTCATTTCAGCTGAGCATCATCAGCTCAGTTGCCAGCCGCCCTGCCTTCCCCGGAGTCTGCCTTTTAGAAAGTGCTCTATACGTGCAGCGTCCAGAGCAACTCAAATGCCCTCGAGGGCAGTGACCATGACTTGCCCGGCATCTCCCACAGACCTGGTGCCCCTGAAAGTCCCTTACATTCCAGCCGTATCTGTGAGGGGACCCGGTGGGAGGGCCCAGCAGCCTCTGGCTCCCAGACTGGTAGCCCTGGCCACCAGGTTGTTCTAGTGTTTAATGTTCATCTAGTTGCCAACATAAAGAATTAGTATCATACTATGTCGCATTGATTTGAGTAATAGGCGTTGTTAAGTATAATAGTCCCCCTTAGTCACAGGGGATACATTCCAAGACCCCCAACGGATGCCTGACACCACGGATAGCACCAGGCCCTATACAACTGACCCTGAACAACTTGAGGGTTCAGGGCACTGACCCCTGTGCAATCAAAATCCACCTATAACTTAAGTCGGCCTTCGCGTACGCAGATTCCCAGCTGCAGACTGAAAATACAGTTGACTCTTGAACAACACAGATTTGAACTGTGTGTGTCCATGTCGCTTATGGGATTTTTTCCAAACCTGTGTTGCTCAAGTATATATACTATACTTTTTCTTATACATATGTACCCATGATAAAGTTTAATTTACAAATTAGGCACAGTAAGATATTAATAACAATAACCAATAATAAAATATAACAAGTATAACACTATGTTGCAATAAAAGTTATGTGAATGTGATCTCTCTCTCAGCAAACTAGCACAAAGCAGCATGACTTTTTTTTTTTCTTATTAAGTTGAGAACTTTCACCTTTTAATTTAAAGGAAGCGTTTTATGGCTTCTGTTGGGCATATCTGAATTTCCAGCATCACTGCTCTTGCACTTTATTAAGTGAAATATGGTTACTTGAACACAAGCACTGCGATACTGTAATGGCTAGAGGGCTGCTAAGTGACTAAGGGTAGGGAGCCTAGACAGTGCGCACAAAGCATGGACGAAGGGATGATGGATGTCCAGGGCCAGATGGAGTGGGACCCTGTGGCATTTCATCATGCTACCCAGAATGGAGAGCGATTTAAAACTCATGAATTGTTGATTTCGGGGATTTTCTATTTAATAATTTTGGACCATGGTTGACCATAGATAACTGAAACTGTGGAAAGTGAAACCGCAGGTAAGGGGGGACTCCTGGACCATAAGATGTTCCTCAGCCACTGTACACATTAACGGTGAATAACAACACTAATTCACAAGTACTTTTAGGACCACAAATTGGAAGAGGGAGAAAAAGTCCCCCTCCCCCTGCCCAGTAAAAGGATGCCCAGCATTACTGGGAAACAGATGAGGTCAAGTCTTCACTTAATGCTGTTTACAGGCTCTTGGAAACTACCACTTTAAGTGAAACGACATATGTCCAAGCCATCTTTGGCATAGGCTAGTTGGTATAAAAAAGAGTTAAGTTCCTACAGCATATTTCTGGTCACAAAACCATCACCAAACTTATAAATAGGGACCCAAAGTACTTCTATTATTTAACATTGGAATAAATGTGAGCTGTACATACATTTAAGAAAGACGAATAAAAAGTAAAATAATGAATTTCCAACCCACTTATTCCAATTTAGGGTCAAGGATGGGCCAGAGCTGGAGTTTAAATCTAGGTATCAGCATTCACTCATATCTGTATATGCATTTGTCCATTTATTTAAAGCCTGTATTCACTTCTTTCAATTCTTCATTTCATTGTAGAATGCCAGGCCATAATAGTCTTGTAGCACAGCCCCATGATCCTACAGGTGAGGGGATTGAGGCTCAGAGAAGGCGGCTGATGTACCTAAGATCGCACAGCAGAGAAGTCCCCACAGGGGTTTCAGAGCGGGAGGATGGGTGCCGTGTTTGAGTTCCAGGTAAAAATCTGACTGTCCCAACCAACTTCCCTTCATCAGACTCTGCTACCCAGGCCCCCCACCACAGGGCCCTGGGGAGATCCTACAGGGGGTTTCTGTTTGAAGAGCCACTTCCTGTTTGGGGCTAAGCACTTCCTTCAGGTGACTCACAGGCTCCCGCTGGCCTCGTGCTGGGAAGCCAAGGAGGGGGTGGAGGCAGTCCTGGCCGTGCCACCCTCTGCCTGCAACCCCAGCTGGGTGACCCTGAGACTGAGCAGTGCCACAGACTGGAGGTAGGAGATGGAGGTGGAAGGAGGATGCTAAACTGTGCTCCTCACCCAGCTTGGTGGGCAGGGCTCTAAGAGAGCAGGGAACTCAGGCTGCCGTGGGCGGAGGGGCAGCCTCCACACCCAGCTATTCATTCCCACATCTGGTTTCCAGGGTAGCTGCTGCCAGGTGGGGGCTGACAGCAGAGCTGGGACCCCTTAGGATGAATTTGTGATACTTTCTCTTCCTTGCAAGACAGTAAAGTGTGATAGAAAGTGCACTAGGCCAGGAGTGATGGACTTGGATTTCTGATGCCAACTTTTGGTGACCTTGTCATTCTCTGCCCTTCTCTGGGCCTCAGTAGCCATGCCTGTCTAATGGGGGGGGCGGGGGATGCTGGCTGTGACATTTTGTGGCACTTGGTGTTGTAGGATTTACATGAAGAGAACTGGGTTTGGCTGGCTGGTGTGGGTCAGTGGTTGAACATCAACCCATGAACCAAGAGGTTGCAGGTTCAATTCCCGGTCAGGGCACATGCCCGGGTTGCGGACCAGATCCTCAGTGGAAGGTGTGCAGGAGGCAGCTGATTGATGTTCCTCTCTCATCGATGTTTCTATCCCTACATCCCTCTCCCTTCCTCTCTCAAAATCAATAAAAACTTTTTTTTTTTTACAAGAAAGAGGAAGAGAAAATTGGGTTTGAATTCTGGCTCTGCTCCCTTGTTGGATGTGCCTACCTCTCAGAGGTGCCATTTAAAAATCTGAAATAATAATCCCTTTAGTCATTTTACATAACGTAATCCTCAAGCCTCAGCCCTATGGGTAGATATTATTGCTGTTTTATGCATAAGGAGATTGAAGCCCATACTAAGTCCACATAGTAAGAGCCAAGATTCTAACTTGTGCAGTGGGACCCCAGCACCCATGCTGTGCTCTTGCTACTCAAACTGTGGTCCCTGCACCTGTAGCCTCAGCATCACCCAGGAGCTTGTCAGAGCGTAGACTCGCAGACCCCAGCCTAGACCTCATCAGCCTGCATTTGAACAAAAGCTCCGGGTGACTTCTTTGCACATTAAAGTTTGAGAAGCCCTGCTCTACTGATATTCCCTCTGTCACTGAGGTCTTAGGATCACTGTGGCAGATGAAGGAAATGAGTGTGTTTTGTAAACTGTAAAGTGCGGTACCTTCAGGGCACTGTGGAGGTGGAGGGAGGCAGGGCTGCGGGTGCCCCAGGAATCTGTCCCTCGGTAGCAGGATATCATTTCCAAACTGTCTCTGAACCCAGCTCTGACCCCTTCCCATCCAGGGCTAAGTCTTGGCTGTGTGTGTTTATTGCTGGTGTGTGGCTCCAGGGCCCAACTGGGTCAGAGAGAGTTTTCATCTTGGCATGAGCTTGTGCTGGGCACCAGGTCTGAGCTATCACTGCGCTGGGTCTGCAGGGCACCAGGAAACCTGGGTTCCAGCCCTGGCTCCGCCTCTGACACTCTGGGTGGCCTACGCAGGCCCCCGGCCCTGCCAGCCTGCATCCCCGTAAAGGGCAATGTGGCAGCATCCTCTGAAGCCTGCAGTCTGACCTGGACCCCTTCCCTTTCCTCCTCTCTCCCCGTGGACTGTTGGCATCATCTTTCTTCCCAGGTGCTGGGCAGGAGGGCTGCCCAGTGGACCGTAAGAGCTGGTGTTGGGGAGGTGGTGCATGAGTCAGAAGTAAGCCACATAATTTCAGTGCCTCAGATCCCGCCTCCAGCCCTCCAGCCCTCCATCTGCGGCTGCTTTAGAACAGCTGGTGTGGCGGCTACCTCTGGAGAAGCAGGTCCCCGGGCAGCACACAAGGGCCTCTGCCCGCCAGGAGCTGGGCACAGCCCCTGGTTTCGTCCCAGGGTGGCTGGACCTGGGATCATGTTTCCACGGGTCCTGGGGAAGGGGCGGGAGAATGGTTCAGGGAGCAGGTTATGCTGGGTTTGGGGTCGGGCTGGTTTGTGGACAGCATGTGTGGAGAGGGACTGCGTGTGAGGGGTCTCATGGCCTGCAACGGGGTCACGTGTGTCTCCTCGGCTCACCTACCAGCTTGGTGACTTCTCCAGGCAGAGACGAGGTATGACCCATCCCTGGACCCCACACCCAACCCAAGGTGGGCACAGTGTGGGGGCCACTAAGGGTCAGGTGGGAGGGGAGAAGGCAGGATGACCTGATGAGTGATCTGACGGGTTTGTCCCCTTGTCCCCACAGCTCTCCCAGTGAAGCGACATCACCGCCTTCCTGACAGGACACCCCTGGGAGGCCAGCTCACAGCCACTGGTACCTTCTTCCAGGTAAAGAAGAAAGAAAGGCCCTAGCCAGTTTGGCTCAGTGGATAGAGCGTTGGCCTGCAGACTAAAGGGTCCCAGGTTCGATTCCGGTCAAGGGCACATGCCCGGTTTGCGAGTTCGATCTCCAGTGGGGGGCGTGCAGGAGGCAGCCGATCAGTGATTCTCTCCCATCGATGTTTCAATCTCAATCTCTCAATCTCTCTCTCTCTCTCTCTCTCTCTCTCTCTCTCTCTCTCCCCCCCCCCCTCTGAAATAAATTTTAAAAAATTATTTTTTTTTTTAATGAAGGTGGGGAGAAAGGTGTTAGAGACAAGCTACATGGAGCAGCCCACTGGGCTCTAAAACAGTGGTTCTCAACCTTCCTAATGCCGCGACCCTTTAATACAGTTCCTCGTGTTGTGGTGACCCCCAATTTCATTGTTACAAATTGAACATAATTAAAGCATAGTGATTAATCACAAAAACAATATGTAATTACATATGTGTTTTCCGATGGTCTTAGGCAACCCCTGTGAAAGGGTCGTTTGACCCCCAAAGGGGTCGCGACCCACAGGTTGAGAACCGGTGCTCTAAAACAATGTCTGGCTCTCACATAGGGGCAGCACTTCACAGTTTACAAAAACAGGCAGGGCGAGCGGGGATTGTTGTCCCATTTTACAAGCAAGAAAAGGAAGAACCGATGCCCCTGCTTACTCAGGCGTCCCTGTACTTACCTAAGCACCTTACATGTATAAGCTCATGTAATCCTCACAGCGGCCTAGGAGGCTGGCACTGTTATTATAACTAAGGAGACGGAGGTGTGGAGGCATTAAGGAATTTGCTCCGTTAGTAAGTGGTAGAGCTGGGTTTCAAAGCCAGGCAGGCTGGCTCTCCGCGCACATTCCCAACCCCGTGATTTCCTGCTTCTCCAGGGCCAAGTCCTAAACTCATTTACCTTGCCCTCCCATTTCCAGGGGAGATGTGTGTTTTAAGAGAGAATCCTAGAGAATGATGCTTCAGCCAAAGGAATGAATAGCATATAATGGAACTGGAGGCCTTGAGCCATGGAATTGGCAGGAACCTCGAAGGTGTGCTGGCCACCGACTCCTGGGACTGTCCTCCTCAGCAGTGGAGCAAGGCTGGGGTTCTTTGGTTACTGAAGGGAAACCGGGACATTTGAACGAGAGGTAGAAGCGTTGAGGCCCTAGGTCCTCAGACTTGCCTGAAAGTAGAGGGGCTGCTGCTCTTCACGGACACCGTGACGAAGAGAGATGTGAATGACCGTCAAGAGTCCGGATTCTGTGCTAAATCTGAGGCCCCCTTATCCTAGATTGGGAACAGAAGTGTGCAAGCAGATACCAGAGGCTTAAGGAAAAATTGTGTGTATGTGTGTGTGGGGGCGGGGGGGGTGAGGGGGGGTATACTTCATTGAGACCTTTTTTTAAGTAACTTGACTTTTCTGTAAATGAGGAAAGGCAGAGGCAGAGCTGGGATCAGGCTCAGAGGGCTCTGCAAGTGTGCGGTGGACGGGGCTCTGATTGGTTCCTTCTTTCCTTCCTTTGCACATTTAACCAGCTTTTCTGGCTGACAGACAAACGGGCACCTCTTGGTGCCGGCATAGTGCAGGGACCCGGGTCGCCTGCACCGTGGCTCCTCTAGCAGGGACGGGCCTGGTATGCTGGCGGAGTGGATCAGAAGTCTGCCTCTGGGGAAGCTTTTGGCCTGGTGGGCATGGCAGCCACGGAAGCAGATAATTGCTGAGCACACAGGCCTGTGATCCTGCCTCAGGAGCTCTGCCAGACCCCAG